ATTCAGTTACAGATAATAGTAGCCGGTGGAGCTGCAATTTGTTTTAGATTGTTTGCTTCCGACAGTCCAAGATGTTGTTGACTGGACACACCTTGCAGCTGGAGCATCGACAGCGTCCTGTCTAACCACCCAAGTAACGAGGGCTGCCTCATTCCAAACCGTAAGGGCACAAGCTACAATGAGGCAGACAAATGGTTAAAACAGATTGCTACGTATTAGACAGATCCGCAACAAATTACTCCCAGTGATTATTTAGCTCTGATGATGTGCAATTGAATGACAATTTCTGTAAAATGGCGTCATTATGATTTCATCGTGTTCCACTTGATCTCGGTTTAATCCTGTTGATTCCGCAATGGGAAGAAGGTGAAGTATTCTGAGAAGACAACAACAATAATAATAATAATCTTTGCATTTGATTTAGAGCCTTATCACGTCTTCGAGATGTCTCAAAGCGCTTCACGGAATATACTATGGAGTGAATTGACTGAGTATTTTGTGGGCAAAATGCGCCCACAAAAGATGGGATCCATTGGGTCTTCTTCATCCCTGTTTCTCTTGTTGTACATCGAGACGAGCAAAAGAAAATGATAATGAAGACTGAATGAGGCGGAAATAATGGTAGAATTAAAGTTTTTCTGAACACCAATTGAACGGTAAATTGAAACTACTGTTCCCCTTTTTTTGGAACCATTTCCTTACTCCCCTTTTTTGACCCACCCCGACAACTCCCTTTCCTTCCCCTCCTCCGAAACACTGAGTGTCAGCGGCTTGCGATGTGAAAGGCGCTATGCAAATGTAACGTGGTCGTTGTTGTTGTTGTTGTTGTACGAGGAACACAATCGTCAGCTAAGACGGTGAAAGAGGAACCTGCTGCAATGGCTCTGATTTCGACCTCCAGCAGAAGAGCAAGAGCTGCTTAAGGCTGACTCAACCTCTGCTTCTCACTCCCCGCCCCAGGCAAAGCACAAGGCTTTTTTTTATGCTTAGGCAGCAGATGTTTCATCTGAAGGGGTTTTGAATTGAGCCGACTTGTCCTTAAAAATAACAGATGACCGGTCACAGCAAGTTTCGAGAAGCTTCATGTGATGAATCTCCATATAATTACTGACAGATCCATATATTCATTCATTTGGCTTTGGCTTTCGTTGAAAGGACGGGCGGTGGGGAAATGTATTTTTTTTTAACGAAAAAAAAACTAAATACTTTTCTGGATGGGCTCGGGTCCGCATCTCGTTCCAACTCCCACAGCAGAGTGTTTGTTTCTAGCAAAGAAAAGAAAAAAAAAGTTCAAAAATAGTTTCACGCTGCAGGAAATTGCCGGACTGGGTGTTAGTAACCACACCTTTGGCACAGCAATCCCAGCTGCGTTGGCTAGTGTAAACGTGCACCACGCAGCAGATCAGCAGGAATTATTTTTCAACGGACGGAAAATTAGAATTTAAACGTGTGTCATGCAGAACATATGGCCCCGAAGAATAAGGATATCTTTGTGGTCTCTCTCTGTCTAACGCTCCCCATTTGAACGTGCCAAAAGTGCATTCGGCCAGAAATATGAGTCGAGTTGTGCATCAAATCCAGATCTTAAAGACTACAGGATGTATTTTAAGGGAGGAAGGGAGGTGCGGGCTTGGGCTCCCCTTTGTATTGTTGCTACTGAGATCAGTGTAGATTGTATATTTACTTTTAGGTTACTCCCCTTCCTATAGCTGATCACCATCATTGCCGTGAACCTGCGAGATGGAGTTGAACAGCTTCATTGATTGTAGTTTGTACATTATCAGTCAAGGTTTTGAGTCACCAGTGCAGTTCTGGGGATGTACTGCATTGTCAGAGATCTGTCCTTTGGATGAGATGTTAAACTTGTTAAGTGCCTTGGAATCACATAGTTTAAGCAGATATGGAGTGTTGCATTGCCGGAGGTGCCAATCCTGTGGATGAGACGTTAAACCGAATTCCCGTCTGCTCGTTCAAGTGGATGGCACAATTCGAAAAGAAAAGGGAGTTTTCCCGGTGTCCTGGCCAACAGTCTCCTAAGTAAAATTGTTCACTCACTCCATAGCTGTTTGTGGGACATTGTTGTGCGCAAACTGTCTGCTGCGTTTCACCCACAAAATACACAGTCAATCCCATTTACAGTATATTTTGTAAAACCCTTTGAGATGTTTCGATAATGTGATAAAGCGCTGTATCAAATACAAGCATTATTATTATTATATTATTATTATTATGTGGTAAAATGCTATATGAAATGCAAGGATTATAATTAGTCACAGAGTATGAGACAAAGCTAGTGCAGAGGATCAGCACATTATAGTTTGACAATGAGAGAACGTGCTTTTGCTCCACGTGATGAGTTTCCAGCCAAGTTGTCAACTGTCAGAAGGTCGAGGCTGGTCACTTTTCTATAGGAGGGAAGGGAAATTGGCAGACAAGCAAAGACAGCCTTCTCTGGTATAAACTGGTCACAAAGTACGTGTGCGATGCACGTTTGCTCTCTTGCCCAGAAAATGTTGCATGATACGAGGAACGTAGAGTCAAAGGGGGATACAATAACATCCGGACAGGTCAGTTGGTTGAGCTGAGTGGGACAGAGGATCTAGGTTCAATTATGCAACCCTTGACCCTTTCAAGGTTGACAAAATGGGCCACTTGCCTTTTTTTAAAAAAAAACTATCCTCTTGGGGATGTGTAAGAATAAATGGCAGGATCTCCCTGGGGTCGTGGCGAGTTTTCAAATATATTTTTAATGACACAATCTTTATCTTTTCCAGTTTCTCTCAGAATTTAACAACCGAGAGAAGCTGCCAAGTATTGAGAAGCCTCGTAGACTTTAACGTCGGAGCCAGAAGAGAGTTTGTACTGAGTAATATATACAGTTATCAGTAAACAGTTGCTGGGAATGTTTAGCTGCATTTAATGTGGTGTTTGGTGGCTGTTTACTTTGCTGCTTGGAACTTTCTAAATCCTGACTTTTTCTGGATATTCAGACTAAGGGCACACACAGCACAAGTCTTTTTGCTGATCTTCACACAGGAAGAAACAAACTGAGGGAAAGGGAAAGGCACCTTATAATAATACTGATGAGATAATTTAATAATAATAAGTGCCCTGAGCCCCTCCAGGGTGTATATAAATGCAAGTTGTTGTAATCCTTGTATTTGGTATAGTGCCTTTCATATCAGGAGGATGTCTCAAAGTGCTTCACAGGATTTTGCTGTCAAGTGTAGTGACTGTGTGTTTGTAGGCAAAACGTGACTGGCCACTTGCGCACAGCAAATTTTATCCGGCTGGATTGTTGGCGAGGAAAGACTGGGGGAAACTCCTTTCTCCTTTACGTACTTTGTATAATACAGAACAGCTGTGGTGTCACACGGGTAAGACACAGCGACACACAGATTCCTAACAGGGTTGGAAATCCTCAATCTGGAGAATGTTAAAAATGAAGACGAAGAAGCAGAAACGTACAGAGATTATATAAAGCAACTTTGCACCTTCAAACACATACACTCACAATAACACCGTCAATATTGAAGGTGCAGCCCCATATACGAGGTTTACACTGATTTTGAGAACTGCTCAGAAGAGTGGTACTTGGCCTACATTTCCTTGTTTTCCAAGCCTCATGCCAAATGCCTGTACTTGTTATTTTAATCACGGACATGGGTGTTTATATCAGCCCAAGAGACCAACTTTTATGGATTTTGACATTGCATGTACTTTGCGATCAGCTGGCATTGCTCTATAGTTACAGCCGGAACAAAGGACATGCAGTTTTTACCCTGAGGAAGTTAGCGCCATAGAATTAGTATTTTAGATATCGATTGAAGCTAAGTGAACAGATTTATCTCCACCAAGAGTTGAACATACTAAGAGTTGCGTTCTGTGTTTATAGTGCGCTTGTGTATATTATTCGAGTGCCCTCCCCCCATCCCACCCCCAATTGAATCAGGCACTTGACAACTGAACATTAACTGCAGATTTGCCACATTAAGATGCCATTAAAGTATCGTTCAGTAACTAGGATCAAGACACTATTAATCTGTTGTGTTTATAACGGCTAACGTAAACCTTTCGGACGTGGTTGTCAGCATTCGAGGCCGGAATGTTAGACTATTTTATAGGACTTTTAGAAAAGTGGCTCGAGTCCAACTCTGAAAATGTTTCACTTTTTTAAAAAAGATTCTTGCATTTGATGTAGCGCCTTTCACGTCGGTAGGATGTCTCAAAGGGCTTTACAAGGATTTATTGTAAAGTTCTGTACAGTTTCCTGTGTATTCTGTGGGTAAGCACAGCAGCCAATCTGCACACAGAGTTTCGGTATCAGATCGAGAAATTAGATTTTTTTTTGCAATAAAAATCCAAATTCTTTATTTGCTTTCTGAGGCAGAAGAGGTTAAATTGTGCAACACTGAAAGAGCGGATGTCATTTATCATTTTTTAGGGTCATAATATAAGAAGGCACGGAGGATGTGACTAACGTGGATAAATATAATTCAGTGTTTATAACTAACTAAGAACTGTATGCTCAACGCACCTTTCAGATGATGCCTGTGCTCTTCTACAGAAAATGTCACAAAGTGAAAGCTAATGCTTAGCAGATGCAAACTATTTTGACAACCATAATGTACATTTTTAAAGTAGGGGGGAAAAAAAACACTGTACTTTTTCTCTCTGAGTAAAGTTACCGCAGGGAGAAGACTGGTTAGGTTTTGGATTTACATTGACACAAACAGAAACTCTCAAAAGAGCAAGCCTGAGTTAGGTAGTTCTTAAAATGTATTCAGTATTTTTTTCAAGGAAGAATTGAGCTCAATGACTTTGCAGCTACACTGTGCTGCCCTCAAGCTGTCTTCCGTTCAGCGGTGAATCACAATTCACAGCAGAACAGAAAGCCTTTTGATAGGCGTCTCGTTCAGCCAGTTAAACTGCTGACCATTTCATTGATTGCCTCTGTAAGGAGCGTGGGCTGTGTCCATTCATCGTGCTTGCCTCTGCCTCTGCTTGGCTTTGCGTAGTTCAGTGCAGTCAACCCTCACTAAGGTCCAAAAGTTGTTTTAGTAAGTACTAAAGAGAAGGGGAAAAAAAAGCATTCTCACAGCTCCGAAGAGCTGGTGAGATCGCGTCGGCAACTGGTTTCTGATTTGTATCTGAAGGAAGAGGTACCTAAGGGTCAGAATCTATTTGGGGGAAGATGTCTGACGTATCAGTAAGTGATCATTTGGAGGGAATTATATCAGATTTTGAAGGTTTGTAACTCTATTCTGATTATTGCTTGTGATTGTTTTTCTACCTGGTATTTGCGTAGTGGGTATGTGGGCGATAAGGAATGAATGCAATGTTTTTGTTCTGTGGATGACTCTTGTAATGAATTCTACAGCTCTGCTGTGTAGCTACATTGACAACAATGTACTGTATATATATATATTGTATATATTATGTGTACCTTTGTGTAAAGGCAGACTAGCACTTTGATTGGAACTAAAGGCGAAGCTGCACAAAAAAACACTCCAATCTGACATTTAACTTTAAGCCACAGCTATCATCTGCTCCGAGTTGCTGCCTGACATTCCTGTGAAAAACATCAAGCAGTGGGGAGTAACTTTCCTGCAGAAGAATATTCTTGGCTTTAATTCTTCAGGATTATGCTCACGGTCTGATTATTTTTCCAAATGCAAACTTCCCTTCAGGATGCTCCAACTAACAGATAATTATTGCATGTGGCCTTTACTTCCTTTCTCTCCAATATGCCATGCAATCTATTTTAAAGCACAGGAAATGGATATTTTATCAACAGTTCCTGAACGTGCTGTATTTCCCCCTCAGACCTGCAAATAACAGAGAATTCCCTGCAGCACATCCCGACATGGAATCAGATTTGATGGAAAACATACCAGGCTGTCGGTTTGCAGGCATTTTTAAAAAAAACTGGAAAATCTCTGAGCTTTGTTGAAACAGTGTCAAGCAATTGCATGTCTTTGTGATTCCAAATCCAGAGTAAACTGTTAAAGCAATCAATGAATGCTGGATTCTTGGCAGAAGATAAGATTTTTCAAGGAGATGGTGCAAATGTCTACAGGAGTCGTAACACTTAATGTTGAAGCTGTAACAGTTCTATTGCGAGAGGCACGTACCAAGCAGACCATTTTGAGGTGGAAATAAATAGAGAATATGTCATTAAGTGACCTTTCATTGTGTACTGGCAGATGTGTCAATCAGTAAAACAGCATGAAATTTCTCAGTCAGACACACACTTGAGGTTACAGAGTGTGAGCTAGGCTCAGGCTAGGTTTTCATTATTCTTGTGAAGCACTTTGGCATGTCCTCCTGATGTGAAAGGCGCTATAACAATTGCAAGAATTATTATAATAATTATTATTATCAGCATTATCAATATTATTCTCCGCGTTAACTTTTGAGTCTAAACTCTTCACCTATTTGATGTACTTCACAATGCAGGAAAATAAGTTACTGGCTCCCTGTGTCTTTCCAGCACCTTCAAGCGAGCTGATGTCAACGCTGGAAATCTTTGTTGCCACTTGGTAATTACTGTAATTAGGGAATGTAAGGTCAAAACAGAAAGGGTTATAAGTCAGTGTCAGAGGTGTTACTTTCACTGTGTGTCAAAGAATGTGTCAAAAGTACCCGTAATATTATTTGAATCAATCCCAATAACTCACAAGTTGCTGGTCAAGTGTACGCACGCTAACTGCAGAATAAGGATTTGTTTTAACCCAGTAACAGTTATGGCAGTAGTTAACTATCAATAATAACAATCGTTGCATTTTGATTGAGTGCCTTTGATGTCGTTGACGTCTCAAAGTGCTTCACAGGATATAGTGTAAAGTTAGATTGACTGTGTATCCCTCTAGCCATCTAGTCCACCCATTCGAATTTTCTCGCGATTCCTTTGTGTCGATGTCTAAACCGAAGCCTTTTTAATGGAAAACAACTTGCCCGGTAGTTTTGAAATCCTTTGCGGTTTCTTCTTTCCACCTGAAATGTGGTCACTAAGGCCATCATTGCAATTTGAAATGACTTTGCTTTGAGTTCTCAGTGAAGGGTTAAACTTGCAAAGAATACATCGACAGGAAATCTCTCCTTGGTCAACTCACTGGATGAGTGAGTGGTTGACAAATAATATTTTTTGATAAATTCTGCGAGGTCAATGATAGTTTTTGTCAAGTCTAACTGACACATGCAGGAACCTTTTGCAAACCAGAGTTTCTTTGTCATTCATTGAGTGAGCAATCTCTTGGGATGGGAGTGTGTGTGTGGGGGGGGGGGGTTGTGGTTGGAGGAGAAAGGGGGAGGGGAAGGAAGTGAGGTGGGGAAGCACGTCAAGCTTGAGAGTGCAGTTTGGCAGAAGCCAGGGGTTTGGCAATGCTAAGCGCATATTGAAACACTGCAATTAAACCAATTATAAATGCACAAGTCACAAGCAAGGCGTACATCCTGTCTCTAGACTCCTAGAGATCAGATACAACCAACCGCAAGACTACTGGGTGTTAGATACAAGTCTCGCCATCAAACACCAAGGTACCAAGTATTAAATGCACATCTGAATTCTAAATAACTCACTGTCAGGGCTAACAAGTCAGGGGCTGCTGCATTGCTTTGTAAATTGGTAGTCTTCAAAATACACAGGCACTGCATGTTACAGTAAATCCTATAAAGTGCTTTGAGACGTTTCAAAGACTTAATGAAGCATTATATCAAATTAGGATTATTATTATTATAACTAATTGCGCCAGTTTGAAAGGCCATTGATTCAGTAGAATAACGTTTCATGTAAAACTGTGCCACTTTGGACAGTGTGGTATGATCCTAAGCTAATGTTGGCTTTGAACTCTCCAGTCTACCCAGAATAGCTAACCAAAGCTTCTGCACAGAGAACAAAGCTTCTCTTCTCGGAATGGTACAAGGCACAGAGACATTCAGAAAAAAGGGAAAAAATCAAAACAAAAAGATAATAGAAAATGATTATTTAAAGCACTCCTTGCTTATGGCAATTTATCTTTGAGAAACAGATAGCAGAAACCAATGGTGGGGCACATGCAGTTACACTCATGGATTATTAAGGGGCATTTTACAAAGTGGAACATCTACAAAGAGAGCTAACACTTCATTAATAGGTCTAAAATGTCTCTTGTTAATCACAGGTTCTATAAATTCAGTGGCCAATGATTAATATAATCCTGTTTTGTTCTTCCCTTTTACCCTGCTCTCCTTCTTTACTATCTGTTTTCCTTCTTGTGTTTGATGATGTTCTCACTGAAACTCGTTTTCCCAGCCACATCTCTTTCCTCAGTAACTGCCTTAAACTGCAACCTTGAAGAACTTCCAATAAAAGCCTTGTGTTTGATGTACTGCTGCATCTTACTGTGTCCTCCTTTGGGACGTCCTCCCGACGTGAAAGGCACTATACAGATGTGATTTTGTTGCTGTTTTTGTGTCAGGCGAGATGGCTCAAAGCACGTCACAGGATTTTACTGTAAGATGTTGTGACTGTGCATTTGCAGTCAAACACAGCAGTCAATTTGTACACACGAAATGACTGTGCAAAGTCGCAAACAACCTTGAAGTAAATGACAAAATGCATCAATAACAACAGCTTGCATTTATATAGCGCCCCTCACACAGGATAGCGTCACAGAGTGTATCTGGAGGTTTGTTGATGAGGACACCGGGACAATTTATTTTTGAATAATGCAATACAGGTTCTCATCAGAAGGATGGCACCTCTGCCAGTGCACTGCTCCCCCCAGCACTGCATTGGAGTGGCAGCATAGACTATGAACTCTGTGCCTCCAATCCTGTCTAATTAGGTTGAAAATGCAGTGGTTCTTCGACTGCAACACTTGACAGTAGCAACTCTGGGAAGTTGCCAGAAGGAGAGACCAGGAAGTTCATCCCACTGATCCATTTAAACTTCGCTCCAGAAGTAGATTGCAACAAGTGGACTTCCAGGGGATTAGTGGGGTATATTTCCCGTTATGGACTATTTGTGAATCTAGGTAGCGAATACTAAAGAATGACCAAAACGTTGCCCTAATAAGTCTTAAAGAAATTATGACTTTTTTTATAGGGTAGATATCACAACTTTTTGGTCCCCTATATATATATATATAACTGGCTTCATCCAACTAACCCCAAATAGGACAGATACCTGTTGTCAGAATCATTTCAACATAGAACGCCTGAAAGACGCTGAAATAGTGTATCCAGAGTAATCAGATCCAAGGACAGCATAACCATTAGGTATATAGAAAGGGACGACAAGAACAAATTACATTCGTATAGGCCTTTCACGTCAAGAGGACGTCCCCAAGGTGTTGGCAGTATTTATTGTCCCAAGGGACAATAGGTATTGGGAGAGTTTTTTGTAAGTTAAGGATGAAGAGCAAGGTTGTTTTGAAGTGACTTTGCTAGAGTTAGCTGAGATTTAGCTCAGTCGTCATTTCAATTCATGGCTAATGAGTCTTCCAGACAGGGCCTTGTTCTAAGTCATGGCCCTGGGCAGAATGGCCACCCATGGTGCAGATAAGTCCTCAGATCATTTCCTGCCAGTGTTTTCTATGTGTTTTCATCCCCCCACCAACCCTGCCTTTTATGCTGCTGATGAACGACTAGAACAGGAATGCTGCTGGTAATGTTATAATGTTTGGCAATGATGCCAAAGAGCGTGGCTGGTTCACAAACATAAGGGAGAAATTCAAAGCGAAAGAGAACCTATTAAGCAATTGGACTTGATTAGCAGATGCAAATACAGATAAACATAAGGTAGTGCATATTGGAACAGGAAACTGCAAACATATGTACATGATCTAAGACTGTTCATCAGCAAAGGTGAAGAAGGAAAAGAATCGGAGTGTGACTTGTCTGAGTCTTATCACTGTCTGTGTTAACACAGCTAGTCAAATAATAAGTTGCAACTCAAAGGCATTCACTCAAACTCAAAGGATGATTATTATCAGGCGTGTGGATAATACTCCCTCAAGAAAAAAAGAAATAATAATTTGCTCACTCAATCCACGACTGTTTGTGGGACGCTGCTGTACGCAATTGGCTGCTGCGTTTCGCCCACAAATATACAGTTAATTCACTTTACGGTATATAATCCTTGAGACGTCTGAAAGACGTGATAAGGCACCATATCAAATGCAAGGATTATTATTATTATTATTCCAAGAGTTCAGGGCTGCAATTTATGAGGAGAGACCAGCAGAGGTGAACTTGTTTTCATTTGGGAAAAGTATTTGAGAAGAGACACCATTCAGGTCCTTTAAGAGGCCGAGATGAATCAATGGAAGTGGGCTGGTTGACCTGTACTGTCAGATTAATTAACTTGTGAGGTTCGAGGGTCATTCCTGAGCAGGTTGTTATTGCACAACGGTAACATCGTTAGTGCTAAACTGATGCGAATGGTAAAGAGATGTGGCAGCTATTGTGTTAACTGAAGCGCGGCGAATGCTGGCGGTAGATTCAGAAGTTACAGAAGTCCTGCTCCTATTGCTCATTAGAAAAATCAAATGGTTGTTGAAGCACCGATCTGTCCAATGCTTAGAAATCAAGTGCTCTGGGACGCTACCCTGTGTGAGGGGCGCTATATCAATGCATGCTGTTGTTGTTGTTGGTGTAGCTAAACTCCACCCTTGCAAGGGAGGACTCAGCTCAAGCTGGGGCCAGTGGAGCCCAAGGCGAGTACAATCCCCACCTTAATCTGACCAAGATGAGAGTCTAACCTCCAGGCTAAGATTAGCGCAAGAATAATAATAATAATAATCCTTGTTAACTTGTAGTTGATACAACGCCTTATCACATCTTTGAGACGTCTCAAAGCGCTTCACAGAATATACTGTAAAGTGAATTGACTCTTATGTTTTGTACCCCGTGCAGTAACCTGTACAAAGTCTCTTACATTTGACCTTCATGGAATTTACCATGAAGTGTCGGCACTGTTTATTTTGTAGGTGACGTTTGTGTACTGTTGGCAGGTTATTCGTATACACGTTTTTTTATATGTAAGTTGTGGCTATTATAGCTGTTGACTTGATAAGATTCTAGACTCAGAACTCAGCCTCTTCCCCCTTTGTGAGTCGTGGATTTTCTGTTATTTTATGAAAAATGAAAACCCAACAGTTTTTTTTAAAAAAAACAAAAACAAAATCTCCTGAAATTGATTTTTTTTTCACAAAAGGTTTGTGCGGGGTAATCAACCTTTTAAAAAAAGATATTTGGCACATTTAACTGGTGCGATGGTGGTTAATACACTTTGAGCTGGAGGTTTTACGACCGCCAGGAATGAGGGAGTTTTCCACCTGTTTAGTCGGGGGTTAAGTCAAAAAGAAATTCACGTAAGAACATGACAGCCAATAAAGAAAAGAAGGCTTGCTTCTCATCAATGTCGATTCAGCCCCCCAGATTCCAGAGGTAAAGAGGCTTTGTGTTAATTGTTAACCTGCCCCATTCAGTCCCTGCTGAATATCTAAATTAATCTTTCAAACTTGATTGTGCTGGACACTTTTAACACATAGCACGATGCTGTGATGGCTGGGGTGAGATTCTAGAAGGATGAGATCAAATGGGCCAAAGTGCCTTCTTCATCCAAACCCAATCTTGCGAGTTCTTTGGAACTAACCAAGGACTTTTGCTGACGTATCGATTCTAATGCAACGTTAAAGGCCAGACCTTGATTTGTCCTGTTAATGTGCCCTCATTCTTGTGTTTCAGCTTTGAAAAGATCATTTGAGGTGGAGGAAGTGGACCAGCCGCCAAATCCCTCCGTTCCGACGAGGCGGATACCGACTCCTCTCCTGAGATCAAGTCCGTCACCTGGGCACAAATATCAGGATTTGGTGGGAAAACCTTCAGATCTACCTTCAAAACAAGCGGAAACGTCTAACACTAAATCTCCCAAATCATCTGTCAAGAGAATTGAGATTGCGGGAACTAAGCTCCCAGAAGCCGTGTCTAGAAGAACGGAAATTTCTATTGACCTTTCTTCAAAGCAAGTGGAAACCGCAAGCCATGTTGCGCCAAAGATCAGCCTTAAAAGAGCAGAACTGCTAGGCCATAAACCTCCCGAAGTAATCCCAAGGAGGACAGATATTTCGGGACCCAAACTCCAGGAACCCACTTTAAGAAGATTGGAAACAGTGGGCTCAAAGCTCCCAGAGTCGATCGCGAGAAGAACAGAGACTCCTACACCTTCGTTGACGGAGATATCTCCAAAACGGGTAGAAATTCAAATACCGAAGCATCAAGAACCCCCGACTAAACAGTTAGAAAATTCAGTCTCTCCCCACATCAATTACCACCCACCACAGGAAGCACAGCCAGACAAAGCCGTTACTGAAGTCAGAGTGAAAAGCGAGAGCAGTAAGTATACATTTAATGAGTTTTACTGTTCAGGGATGTTCGATGCTTCTGAGATGTGAGTTTCTTTATTTTAGGGACTATTTCCTCACTGCAAGCTATCGTGTAAGAAGGTAAATACATTGAAAAGATTTGATTAGATTTAGTTTCAGTGAGCTTTGTGTGAGATGTGGATCAGATGTATGTTAAGGTAAGCGTGGGGGTGAAGCATATTTATGGGGTTAGTGTACTTTGTGTCTATGATGTTTCTTTCTTGTTCGACCCTCAGTACCAAAGCTGCACTGCCCCAAAGTCTAACAGTCTAAACTGGTGACGATTTTATTACTTTAAAACTAAGCTAATTTATTTTCAAAGGCATTTTGTGTTTATTCATTGACAAGTGATCATTGACACAACAGTCATATCAAACTCTGAAAGGTATTGTGCAAGTTTTATGGTGGGAAAAGTTTAATTCTTTTGCAATCATTTGAAAATCCCTGTAACTGTGATGTATGCTCCCTTGAACAGTCATCCCTTTGGATACTCTCTTAAGAGTGGTGATGGGGTTCCCCAGGTGTCAGACGCCTGGCTGACCCCCAAAAAAATCCAGAGAACTTTAAGCTAATATCACTTATGATGCTACTGCCCTGAAAGAACTCAAAAGACCCTGAACAGTTACAGATGAGGTTGAATGCTTTTCAATTCGCGTTGATGGACCTTAGTTCGAGTGTTTTTTTGAGGGTGAGATTTTAAAAAGATTAGTTCCTGACAAAGTGGGCCATATTGCTCATACAGAAGGAATGATTAAAGCCTCACTAGTGAAACAGGCGGGTTCTTTTTTTTGGTTAATGTTGCGTGTGTTACCGTCTCCTTGTTAAATCTTTACGTACCGTATGAATCACGGTGCAGTGCGAGAGCGATGTCAATAATGAGAACAAACCCATTAACTTTGTCGCCTATCAGAAATGCAAGGGTTATTATTATTATTATTACTTTACACTTGTCTCAAACTGAAAATGATTTCCTTTTTGTACATGAACGTTCTCCATTGTGCATGTCGAAGGCAGCCGAGTATAAAGATTAGCAGAATATGATGCGATAACCTTTCTGGGCACCAGTTTGTGGCACAGGAAGTGGAGGAACTGGCACTGCTGAAATGTACTATAACATGAAGCCACAAAAGCCACAGTATTAACTGATTTTACAGAATTGTCTGTCTGTGAAATAGCTAAACCAGCCATTCCTTTTCTTCTGCCTTCATTTTGTCAAACTTATTCTGGGTCTTGGTTCAGCAGAAGATATGAAATGGAAGCAGCAAATCCATTGTAAAATGCTCTGATGTACTTAACACACAGTCAGTGTTCAGACCTTTAACCGTGTACAGGAGACGTTTGCAGTCTGAAAAGGAACAGAATAATCTTATCGGTTATTTTCATCATTAACAGCCTCAAAGTTTTGGCTTGTGGATGATTCAGTAGTTAGAAGCTTTCAAGCAGAACCTCATGCAGAGCACTTCTGATGTAGTGCCTTACCATGTCGTTGAAACTCAGTGCAAAGTGACTGCGTATGGGTAGCAGTCTCCTGGCACTGTTGGTGCTCTAGTGCATGATGCCAGAGGTTGATGGATTCTCCATGTGGTGAGTTGCTGATCATTGCTGAGAGGCAGGAGATTGAGATGTCTCTGCTTTTCGTCTCCAATTTCAAAGTTGAGAGGCTCCCTTTCCAGCTTGTCGATCGTTAGATTGCGAATTATCCCATTACCCTTTTTGTTGACAACTATATCACATACTGTAGTGCATCCTTACAACGATATATTAAAGAAAAAATTGGTCACTCAATCCACGACTGTTTGTGGGACACTGCTGTGCGCAATTGGCTGTCGCTTTTCGTCCACAAAACTATATAGGCAGTTCACTTTACAGTGTATTTTTATCACGTCGTTGAGACGTCTCAAAGTGCTTCACTGTGAAGTGAATTGACTATACGTCTGGCAAATACACAAAACAGTCAAAAAAAGGTGGATATGGGTTTTCTGCTGCTATGAAATTCCTTAGTTTTTTTTCCCTGTGGGCAACCAGCAATTTTAAATACACGAAGGAAGCGAGGGAAATACGACCTGTGATAATTATCACAACATAAGTCACAGTTTTGGTGTCTCTACTCCCAGTCTCTACTCCCAATAGCTTCAACTGTTTTGCAAACAGAAACGTAATCTATTGTGATTAATGATGCAACCCGCCCCCCCCCCCACATTGATGTAGTTCATTCACTTCATGTCTATCCATGGGACATTGCTGTGTGAAAAATGGCTGCCATGTTTGCCTACAAATACACAGTCACTACATTTTAAGAAGCTTTGCCTTTAGAGGCAAACCCAACAAAATGCAATGATTATCTATGCAATACCACCCTGCTCAGTTGGGTCTCTGTGAAGTACTTTGAGTCAGGTAACTGTGAAAGACAAGATAATAATAATAATAATCCTTGCTTTTCATATAGCGCTTTTCACGTCGTCTCGACGTCTCAAAGCGCTTCACAGAATATATTGTAAAGTGAATTGACTGTATATTTGTTTTAATATAATTTTTATATAAATACCAAGTTGCTGTGGTAGAGATGGACGCATTTACTGCACTTCTGAGCCTTTGAAGTGGGTTCTCCTAGACCTGAGCTTGGATGAAAATTCTCTCCGTAACAAAGTGCTGGCCATCTCAAAGACAGGAGCTCGCGTTAATTTCTGGTGTGTAGAAGAGCGAAGCTGCTTTGCTGTGAATAGTACAGCCACGTGGCTCTGACTCATACTTGCCATTCCACATGATTTTCAATCAGACTGGAAACTCAAAGCACCCAGTTTTGGGTTGTGCGGCTGCACGCACACAGTGCAGGATGTGCAGAACACCAAAATGGGACGTTTGTTTTTAATGATATCAGCTCTTAAATGTTACAATTAATTCAATCAGATCTGAACAGAGCAAGCAGCAAGCTCAATGAGACAGGCAACTGCTGTGTTTATGCTGCAGGGGAACATCTCATCTCAGGATTTGCTCCTCTCATTTCCGCTGTGCTTTTGGTGGCGAGACAGTGCTCAAATCACTGCGATTCACCATGAGACATGCAGCATCAATAATAATAATCCTTGCATTTGCATCTTCGAGATGTCTCAAAGAGCTTCACAGAATATACTGTAAAGTGAATTGACTGTATATTTTGCGGGTGAAACGCGGTAGCCAATTGCGCACAGCAGTGTCCCACAAACAGTCGTGGATTAAATGCATCCAATGAAGGTGCAATGCAGCCCATAATGAATTAACGTACCTCATAATAATACAAAGTCTTCAATTACTTTTAACCTTGGGCTGTGTTTTCGGTTGAACGATTTCTGAAAAAAAACTGCTGATTTCTTTGTCTATAAAACGAAGCAATACGGAATATATTTAATGTCCTTATGTTTTACATTTATGAACACATAGCGCATATCTTGAGTCTTGGCTGTAGTAAGTGTATTATCATCCAAACCTCTGCCAAAATAATGTAAAAATAACTAACATCATATATTTTCCTTGGCTACAAAAAGCTATTCTTCCAAATTCTGTAGACTTAAAGCTGTTAAAATACTGACTACAGTGAAACTGTTTTTTAAGCTTGGAAATGTATTGGAATTAAACGCTGAAGGAGATAACAAAGTTACCGAGTGCTGGAGTTCTCCATTTAAAAAAAAGATAACTCGTTTTATGGGAATTTGCATAATTGTGGAGTCAGCAATGCATCGTTTGGTATGATAAGTATCATTGATGATAGCACTTAGCTGAATATCTGCTCATCTTGTGAAGATACCTCCTCGAACTTGTCACAAGTGGTTGGTGGCTACCATGGACCCATTTGACCACAGCCTTTCACCGTCTATTCCGCTGGATCCCGTTTTAACTCAACATTAAAGGTTTCAAAGGCACACAAAGGCTGGCCACTCACTGCTATCAAATTCCTGAATTCTCTTGCAAGCAGCAATTTTAAATACTTCAGTCTCTGCGCAGCTGACTTTACACACTGCAGGGCTCGCATACTTGGTGGCGCTGTCAGTGCTCCATTGCTAGTTTGCTTGGCCACAAGGTATTACTTTTATCCTTTGTAATATAAACACCTGAAAATTTCTCTGGCGCCTTGCCTGTCATAGGGAGGGTAGGTGTCCAGCATCTTTTGTAAGTAGAAAGTGATGTAATTCAGCTACAAAAACAGCGATAAAAGTCCCTTTTGAACAGCCTACAGTCAAAACAAGAGGAACACCAGGATCCAGGGAATTCAACTTGTCCTTTGAGGAACTTTCTGATTCATCCCATGAAATGTGATGGTGGGTCCTGACCATTGGGACTCATTAGAGCAGCAATGCTGAAAATAATGATAATAATAATAATCTTTGCATTTGATATAGCGCTTTTCACGTCTTCTAGACGTCCCAAAGCGCTTCACAGAATATACTGTTAAGTGAATTGATCGTATATTTAGGGGCGAACGCAGCAGCCAATTGCGTACAGCAGCATCCCACAAACAGTCGTGGATTGAAAATGACCAATTTATTATTGTTTTGTTTTTTGCAAGGATTATTATTAGGTGTGTGGAGTAAGGAAACTTGCCTAAGGTTTCGCCCTCTGCCTGGAATTGAACCCAGGTCTCTCGCTTCTTTTCTCTACTTTGCTGTTGGGTGGCAAGCCACAAGATTGTACTATACCATCATTACTGCGGACGAAACTCATGGTTTCGTTGGAGAAAACTATTTTTAGACCAAATGTTTGGCATTTTGCAAAATGTTTTTCTGGAAATGGAATAGATTTTTGAGTCCAAATGAACGCACTAAACGTTGAATACCATAAAGGGAAAAGAATAAGCAGGCATAAAATGTCATCCAGTGCAGTATATATGCAGGGTACAGAGTATCCAGATCCTTGGCAGATCACAGCTTTTACTCCTTGAAAAATAATTCTCGCACTTAATTTAAATGGGAGACCTTTAAATGAAGTTAAAAATACTAA